AAATGTCGCGTTCTTGGGGCCCTCTTGAGTCGCTCTTGGGGCCATCTTGGGGCGCTCTTGGGGCCCTCTTGGGTTGTCTGGGGAGCCTCCTGGGCCGTCTCGGGGCCCTTTTGGGAGCCTTTTCGGCCGTCTTGGAGCGATCTCCGTGGGGAAGCGGCACATGCGGGAATGCACAAATCCTTCAAAAACCAACGGAACATTTATGATTTTTGGCTTCTGGGGCCCTTTTGGGGAGCCTCTTGAGGCCCTCATGGGGCGGTTTGGCGGCGTCTTTGGCCGTCTTGAGGCCATATTGGGCGTCTTCGGGGCCTCTTGCGGGCCCAATTTAAAGCCAAACGCCCCCCCCCAAAGGAGCAAAAGAAGCCCCGCCCAGGGGCACGGCCGAAGAGCCGGCGAGGTTCCCAGGTGATGGCCCCGTGGGGCTCGAGAGGCCCCTGACCCCCGCGACTACTATTTTCCAGCCGGGCGGGGGTCCCCGTCCCGAATCCATGCGGGAAGATCCAATTAGACAAACTATCCAAACATATATATATATATATATATATATATATATATATACATATATATATATATATGTGTGTGTATGCGGGACCCTTGCGGGACCCTCCCTATTTATTGTTTTTTCAAAGAGTATCAAGGAATTGAATTATCGGGCCCTCCTGCGGGACCCTTGCGGGACCCTTGCGGGACCCTGTGCTGCATTTATTGCAAATAATGACTTGAGATATACGCTGCGGGACCCTCCCTATTTATTCCCCACATCCAAAGTGGGGTTCTTGTTTTCTCTGCACACCCCCCGCGCAGGATCTCACACCCTCTCTCTCTCTCTCTTCCTCTTTCTCGCCATCATCATCATCATCAGTCATCATCATCATGACCCACGCCTCTCCTCCTCAGCACCATCACACTTACCCATGCACCACTCGATCGCTCACTCACTCACTCACTCACTCATCATGATCATCACATGAGGATATCATCCGTTGGCGTCACACATCACTCAGTCAGTCCGTCACTCACTCGAGTATCAAGCGGGAGCGTCGTCTGTGAGTGAATTGCGAGGAAGTCTCAGGCGGGAGCCTCTCCCTATGGGGCCCGCAGATCATCCTACTAATCCGAGGCGGGTCATCGGGATCCTGTAACTGTCGTCACTTTTGGGCTCCTGGGGCGTGAATTTGGAGGAAGTATCAGGCGGGAGCGTCGTCTGTGAGTGAATTGCGAGGAAGTCTCAGGCGGGAGCCTCTCCCTATGGGGCCCGCAAATCATCTTACTAATCCGAGGCGGGTCATCGGAAACCTGTAACTGTCGTCGTTTTTGGGCTCCTGGGGCGTGAATCTGGAGGAAGTATCTAGCGGGAGCCTCGTCTGCGAGTGAATTGCGAGGAAGTCTCAGGCGGGAGCTTCTCCCTATGGGGCCCGCAGATCATCTTACTAATCCGAGGCGGGTCATCGGGATCCTGTAACTGTCGTGACTTTTGGGCTCCCGGGGCGTGAATTTGGAGGAAGTATCAGGCGGGAGCGTCGTCTGTGAGTGAATTGCGAGAAAGTCTCAGGCGGGAGCCTCTCCCTATGGGGCCCGCAGATCATCTTACTAATCCGAGGCGGGTCATTGGGATCCTGTAACTGTCGTCACTTTTGGGCTCCTGGGGCGTGAACTTGGAGGAAGTATCAGGCGGGAGCGTTGTCTGTGAGTGAATTGCGAGGAAGTCTCAGGCGGGAGCCTCTCTCTATGGGGCCCGCAGATCATCTTACCAATCCGAGGCGGGTCATCGGAAACCTGTAACTGTCGTCGCTTTTGGGCTCCTGAGGCCTGAATATGGGAGAAGTATCAGGCGGGCGCTCCATCCCTGTGGGGCACGCTCTTCATGTTCGAACCCGAGCGGGTCATCCGAGCGAGCTTTTTGGGCTCCTCAGTTCCTGCGGCCTGAACAAGGGGGAAGTATCAAGCGGGAACTTTGTCTGTGGGCGGTGCGGGTAGTCCAGTCTGAGGACCGTCTCTTGTCGTCACTTGGAGGATCGAAGGGGAACTCGCTCCTGCGGCCTGAATATTCTCTTTCGACTTGCCCACGTCCAATTGCTGGCCAACCTTGTCGTCGTCGGCGGGAGAGGGAACTTGAAATGGTTCACTCTCCCGCGTTCGTTTGGGCTGGGGAGGGAACTTGAAAAGGTTCACTCTCTAGCTGCGGGAGAGGGAACTTGAAAAGGTTCACTTTCCCGTTCGTGGCAGGATTGGGCTGGAGAGGGAACTTGAAAAGGTTCGACGTCTCTAGCTGCGGGAGAGGGAACTTGCAAAGGTTCCCTGTCCCCCCTTGTCGTCGGAATGAAGGGGGAACTTGAAAAGGTTCACCCTTCATTCGCGGGAAAGGGAACTTGAAAAGGTTCACTTTCCCTTGGCGAGGGAACTTGCAAAGGTTCACTCTCCAGCAGCGGGAAAGGGAACTTGCAAAGGTTCACTTCCCCGCGCGTTCCAACTGGAGAGGGAACTTGAAAAGGTTCCCTCTCCAGCAGCGGGAAAGGGAACTTGCAAAGGTTCACTTTCCCGCGCGTTCCAACTGGAGAGGGAACTTGAAAAGGTCCCCTCTCCAATTTTTTTCTGACCCCCCCTTTTCCTAACACCGATGTTTCAATGGACTAAGGGGTCACTAACGCAATTTTTTTCTCGGGCGTCGGGGGAGGAATCGCGTTGGCCGGAAACGGAGCTGAGCCTGGCGCGGGCGCTCGATGGAAAACCCTCACGAAACGCTTTGAAATCGATGATTGCGGATGACGAGCAGCACATTTTGCAATTTCCCCATAGGGGGATGGAACGCAATGTACGTTTTTCTTTGGCATGCGTCACGAAAACGGCCCCTCGAGAACGAAAACGACGCAACGCCCTATTTTCATTATGAAACGATTAGCATTTGAGAGAGTTTTTCATAGATGCACGTGCCCGGGGGTCCTGGAGGAGGAGGAGGAGGAGGAGGAGGAGGAGGGGCAGGAGGAGGAGGAGGAGGAGGAGGAGGAGGAGGAGGAGCAGGATGAGGAGCAGGAGAGGAGAGGAGGAGGAGGAGAGGAGGAGAGATAGAGGAAGGAGGAGGGTAGGAGGAGCGAGGAGCAGCAGTAGGGGGAAGAGGGTGAGGGGGCCACGCCAGACCGAGTCGTGAGGAGTGGTCGGAGGAGGAGAGGAGGAGGAAAGCGGAGGAGGAGGAGGAGGAAGGAGCGGAGGAGAGCGGCGGGATGAGGAATGAGGAGGGAGGGGCAGGAGGGGGAGGAGGAAGAGGAAGAGGAGGGGCAGCAACGTCAACATCGGCGATGTCGGGCGGACGTTGCTAGGGGCTAAGCGTGCGAAGGTCCTCTCCTCAGGCCGGACGAATGTGTGCGACAGGGAAAGGAGGGGGGTACGAAATCTGATGCATTCAGAGAAGGGGTAGACAAGGGAGGAAGGTACAAGGAGGATAGGAGGCAGCAGGAGGAGGAGGAGGACGAGGAGGCAGGCGGAGGCAGGAGGATTCAGAGGAGGGGTAGTCAGGGTGGAGGAAGGAAGGAGGAGGAGGAGGAGGAGGAGGAGGAGGAGGAGGAGGGACGAGGACGAGGACGAGGACGAGGACGAGGAGGACGAGGAGGAGAGAGGAGGGAGGGGGCGAGGAGGACGAGGAGGACGAGGAGGACGAGGAGGACGAAGGAGGAGGAGGAGGAGGAGGAGGAGGAGGAGGAAGGGGGGGAATGCGAACTTTGATGCGTTCAGAGGAGGGAGGGGTGAGACAAGAGTAGCCTTTTTACCTTCCCTGACATCCCCGCGGTGTGACAAAATCACGACGGCAGGTTTTCGGCAATTTTCGGCCTCTGGAGGCCCTCACCGGGCCTCGGGAGCGTCAAAAGCGACTCAGGATGAAAAACCGGTCCCAGGGAAGGGGTCCAGACCTCTGGGGACCGACGTTGTGAAAAAACATTCAGAGGCGCGAGGGTTAAGATCTTCCTTGCTCGGGGGAGGGTTGCTAATGTTCTCCACTTTTTGGGGATGTAATTGTGCTCTGGCACTGGCGCGAGCCCGCGCTGACTCGGCTGACGCTGCGCCGTCTTGCGAGGGCGCCCGCGACGCAGTGCCCATCGCCGCTTGTCTCGCCTGAGGGGTTGTCCCGACGGTATTGAGTATTGATTTTACACTTTGTCTCTCCTTTCTGTCGCCGCCCCAGCCGCGCCCGCGGGGTTGCCCCAACGGCGCGCGCTGGCACTGGCGCGAGTTCGCGCTGACTCGGCTGACCCTGCGCCGTCTCGCGAGGGCGCCCGTGACACAGCGCCCATCGCCGCTGGTCTCGCCTGAGGGGTTGTCCCGACGGTATTGATTTTGCACTTTGTCTCTCCCTTCTGTCGCCGCCCTCGCGCTTTCTCCCGCAGGCCCGACGGGTTGCCCTGACGGCATCCTGCGCGCGGCGCCCGTCCGGGCGGGGGCAGACGGCGGAGGTACCGACCACTTCAAAAATGACAGGGCCTGCGCGCCAGCATTCTCCCTTCCGCTTTCGCCTCCGTCGTCGATCTCCATCCCGGATTGCCTGCGATGCCCGGGCCGTCGAAAATATTGTGCCCATCCGCTGCCTCTCACTGCCGGCAGGGAGCAGCACAGCTGACAGTAGCAGCCAAAATCTGAGACCACCCGTGGCCAGCAGAGAGCACAACAGAGCACCGGAGAGCAGCAGACAAGAACTGAGACCAGCATAGCATCAGCAGCAGAGACTCACATGCAGCAGCAGAGAGCAGCAGAGACCAAGAGAGAGCAGGATGCATTAGCAGAGACCAGCAGAAACCACCACGGAGCGGCAAAAGGCATGAAAGTGCAGTTGAGAGCAGCGGTAAGCAGGATGGAGCGGGAGAGACCAGCTGAGACCACCATACCCCGAGGTGACCAGCTGAGACCAGCTGACACCGTAGCGATTGAGGCTCAGTCCGCATTGGCTTTGCTTCCTGTTGCCAACGCTGCGTGCTTCACTCGCCGTTGCAAACCGCATATCCCGACATTTCAACATGCCGCCCAAGAAGACGGAGGCGGCCTTGCTCGCAGACGTCGCAGAGCATCGTCGGTGGGCGACTGCCACTTTGACGGCCCTGAGAGCACGGGGCGGCATCGGCTTGAAGGCGAAGCTTCAGCAGAGGGCGGGGCTCGAGGAACAGCGGATTTACAAGTGGTACGTGAAGCACGCGGGCGTCGCATCTGATCATCCGACAGTTGCCGCTGCCCTGTCGGAGCTGGACGCCCTGGTCAATGACTCCCTCGGCCCGGCAGCGTCGGCGTGCCCCGACGACGCCCCGCCGGCAAAGCAGAGGCGCCTGACCGAGAGGGGTGGCGAGGCTGCTGCCTGCGCGGCGCCGTTGCAGGGCGAGTCACGGCCTGGCCAATCGACGCCGGCAGCTCGAGGGGTTGCCCCGACGGCTTGCTCGGCTGGACACGGCCCGGCGGCTGCAGCAGCGGCCAAGGCGTCTCCCGCTTCAACGCCGCCCATCGGCATCGAAGAGACCCCGGCGAAGAGGCCTCGCCTGTTCGCCGACGGGCTCGGTGCGACGCCCGCGCAGACCACCGGCGGCCTGACGCCTGCCACCGCGGAGGCCTTGGCAAGGTCGTGCCGCAAGAGCCCGTGGGAGTCCCCGTTGGTCGACGATTCCGTGAGGCTTGCTCACCCAGGGAATCCCGCGAGAGGTGCCTCGCGGCCCGTCGAGCGGCCGCGCTTGCGCCCGCGGGAAGAGGAGCGCCTCCTGGCGGCAGTGCCGCGGACAGCTGTGAAAGATCTGTACGTGCACGTCCGCGATGAGGCTCTGCGCCTAGGCAACGGAGAGTACCTCCCACAATGGCGCGAGAACAAGCCAAAGTATCGACAGCTGAACTACGTGTGGAATTTGCACCAGCACGGCGAGCTCCAGGCGGCCGAGTACGCTCTGTTGGCGCACCAGCCTCACATTATTGGCCCAGAGCTCTTCGGCGCAGTGGAGAAGGTGGAGTGCCCCGCCGCAGTGATCCCCTCGAGCAGCAGCGCCTGGCGGTGGACTTTCAAGCCGGCAGGAGTCGACGTGGAAGGACCGCAGGTGGAATCTCGGGCCGACGCGGCGCGAGCCCTGGCCGGGCTGCAGGCGCGGCTGTACCCCGAGTGGCATCACCCAGGCACTCGCGAGCAACACCTCCGCGCCCTGCTGCGCGACGACGACCGGCAGCAGCAGATGCGCGGCCTGCTCGCTCAGCCTGGCATGCGGTTCGCCAGAGCGGCCGTGCTGGGGGCAGCCGCGTCAGCGCCCCGAGACGGCCGCGCGGGCGCCGCTGGCTTCCCCAACCTGACAAACACGTGCTACATCAATGCCGTGGTGCAGTGCTTGTACCACACGCACCCCTTCCGCGCAGACATCGAGGGCATGCAGCCGGGCGCCAGCAACATGGGGGACCGCCTGCGGGACTTGTTCTGTGCGCGCAGCTCCCCTGCTTCCACGGCCGGCGACATTCGCCCGCCGTTGGTGGCCCTTGTCCGCCAGATCTTGCAGCAGCCGCCAGGCTTTGAGTCCGGTCGCCAACAGGACGCGGCGGAGTGCCCGATGCGCGTCCTCGAGCACGCGGACCTCGGAGGAGTGCGGCGCCGCGTCTGCGGGGACGGCGCAGCCGCGAGCGTCGAGGGCATGGTGCACTGCTGCGCGGCCGAGGAGGCCCAGGTGGGTCGCGATGCGCCGCCTGTGCCCATGGCCGCCATGATCCAGGCGTCCCTCACGGGCGAGCAGGCCGTCCGTGAGGCTTCGGAGGCAGTGGTCCTCCGCGTGGAGAGCATGTACGAACAGGATGGCAGACAGTTCGCGGTGGACGCGCGGGCGGACTGGCGGGACACTGTCTTCCCCGTCAGCATTCTCAACGGAGACGCCGTTTCTTACGAGGTGGCGGCCTTCGCGCAGCACCGCGCCGCGCGCGGCGCACCACCTCTGCAGCGGATGCGCGGCGGCCACTACGTCGCCTACGTCAACAAGGGCGGGCGCTGGTTCGAGCTCGACGATGCCGTCGTGACGGAGCTGCCTGAGCCGCCTGACGCGTATCCGTACTTGGTCTTCCTGGCCCGCGCGAGGCCCAGACGGTCGATTCCGATGGGCGGGAAGCGGCGCGACCCTCGTGGGCCTGACGACTCTCTGGAGGCTGCTGCCAGGCTGTCGCGAGTGATGCCTGCGGCGTCGGGAGGGGCCGCTGCTGGCTTAGCATCCGGATCGGGCAGCGGCAGCCGCGGCTTGCCACAGGCTGCAGGCTCAGCGGCTGGTCAAGGCCGGACAGGCAGGGACTGGGGTGGCAGAGACCAGTCTGGTAGAGACGAGACTGGAAAGGACCAGACTGGTAGGAACCGCAGCGGTCAGCCAAGGGGCATTGCTGGAGTGCACCCAGCTGCCAGGGCCGTCTGGAACGCTTCAGCTGCCGCCGACAACAGAGACCACACCCGGGCAGACCCCGAGAACAGCGCGGACAACCCTTTCAAGCGGTACGTGGATAACTGGGATCTGCGACGCACCAGCGCAGATGTGAAATGCCGCACCTGGTCGCAGAGGGCCGAGCCGTCGGGCCCCCAGCCGTGCCGGCTCTGCCAGGGCCGAGACTTCGCGTTCCGCGAAGATTGGAAGAAGCACGTGGACGACGAGCACGGTGGCGTCCAGCGCTACCGCAACGCTCTCTTCTCGTCGCTGTCGCTGAAGCCCTATGTTGTCAAGGGAGAGGAGTGGCGCGCGATCGTGGCCAATTATGCGGAGTTCTACGCCAGGGCCGCCGTGGACTGGGAGAAGCCGACTGAGCGCATGCGTGAGCTCGCTCAGACTCCCGAGGGGTTGTCTGCAGATGAGCGCTGGGCGCCCCGGACCCGCTGTGCGTGCGTCTTCTGCGCCAGGGTGCACTGGTCCGAGGACCTCTCCTTGGAGTTCCTAGCAGGCAAGGACTGCTTCATGAAGAACCCCGAGGCCGTGGCCAAGCTGTTGTCTTGGGAGGTTTACCACAAGCACTGGCCCGACATCCCCGAGGCCGAGCTCCGCGCCTCCGCCGTGCGTCTGCGCATTGGGAACACGGACACATTCCAACTTGTCCTCATGCACAAGCGGCGGGTGACGGATGCGCAGGCGTTGGGCGACGAGCGGGCCCCGGTGTGCGAGGATTGCCTGTACGCGTTCTCCCCCCGCCACCCGCGCATGTGCAAGTTCACCTTCGCTAACCACTTGTGGCTCGGCAAGAATGACCCGCTCTTCCGCAATGCCAACTTGTCGCACCAGATGCTCCTCGCACTCGCCCGCGTCGTGACGACCAAGGTGGTGCTGCGCCCCGAGAGCTACGACAAGCAGCGCAGCGGCGACGGGCCCACGTGGGACTTCCTCTTCCACCAGACGGGCATGGTGGGCTCCGCAATCCTCTTCGGGAACGCGTCGTGCAAGGAGGCCATGGAGCGTTTCCCTCCGGCTTCCATCAAGGACGCCTTCGCGGTGACTTTCCTGGCAGCCAAGCAGGACGCGGCGAAAGAGCAGCCGCCAGACGGCTCGGAGAATGCAGCGGGACAGTGGCGCCGCGAGGGTCTGGCTGGCGACGCCGCCAGGCAGCAGGACGCCGCCCGGCGCGCCGTCCGGGGCATCGCGCGCCTCAAGGTGAACCGCGCAGAGTTTGACTCGCAGGCCCAAGCGCTGCAGTCCACGAACGTCGTCTACAAAGACAAGGATTACGACGAGGCGCTGGTTGCCCAGTGGTGCCCCAACCCGCTGATTCCTGGTGCCCCCGGTGGTGTTGGACAGCGTCGTGGCCGTGCCGTTGGAGGATTCGCCCGGCGCCGTCGTGGCCGCGGGACCAGCCGACGCCACGGCGGCCGGGGCGCAGGATATGGAAGACGCAGACGTTCAGGCGTGCAAGGAATCCCGGTACGTGAGCGCGTTCAGCGAGGAGGACATCCTGGGCGCGGCCGCCTCGGCGGGGGCCTTGGAGGTGACGGCGCTGATCAAGCAGCTGGAGGAGCTGGACGCGACAGCGCAGCGCTCCGTGGCCAAGGAGACAGAGCACGCCATCGAGTCAGGCAGCGCGCTGCTGGACGAGGCGGGCAGGGAGCGAGTCTTGCAGCTCTGCGAGTCCGTTCGAAACCGCGCTGCTCGGTTGTCGCGCCCGGAGCGGGAGCTGCGGCTGCAGGAGGACCTCGCGCGCGCCGCGCTGGGCGAACCGGTCAGGCCTCGACAGGCGGGGGGGGCCGAGGCGACCATGGCGAACCTCGAGGTGACGCGCGGCACGGCGCCCCTGTCGCTGTTCGATTGGAAGGTGTGGACGCAGGCGCGCCCGAGCCTGTGGCGCTACGGCGACGCCGGTCACCTGGGCCCGAAACGAACGGGGACCTACCCGCAGTTGCTCGCCCACGAGTGGATCACGTGCCTGTGCATGCGGGAGGAGATGGAGTACACTCTGGACACCGACGAGGAGAAGCCGCACCGCGTGCGGGAGAACGACGACGATCCAGAGGTCAACCGGTTCGCGGCGGACTGGGTGTCGTTGCACATGTTCGCCACGTTGCACTTCTTGACGGAGCGCCACCAGTCCGCCTTCGCCTTCCTGAAGAACGGAGGCATGAAGTGGGCCGAGAAAGTGCAGCACCTCACGCCGGATGCCCTGGCGGCGGCCGCCCGCGCTCACGCGGGTGGCGGCGGCGTGGCGGCTTTGGCAAGCAACGCCAACGTGCCGAACGTGGTTCGGGACGCCCTGAACATCATGCAGATGGCCGTCGCGGACGTTGTCGGCACCGACGGACATCGGCGCCTCTGCCGCCACGAGGGGGTACCCTACATGGCGCTCTTCGGGTGCCCCTTGGTCTTCGCCACCCCGAACGTAGCGGACACGAAGCAGCCACTGTTCGTCAGGGTGGAGGGCCAGGAGATCCCGCTCGACGACCGGAGCATTCCAGGCCTGCGCAGCGACGTCATCCCAAAGTACCGAGACATGATGCGGCGCGTCGCCCAGGACCCGGTCGGCCAGACCGTGTGCTTCGAGCTCATCATGCGCCTCTTCTTCATCCACGTCCTCGGCGTCCGCCCCGAGTGCGTGGGCGGCCGCCGGCGCGGCGTTCCTCCCAGGAAACGCTGCTGCTGGGACTGGTGCACCGACGGCGTGGCGGCGTCCTCGACCGCCCCGGGGATCTTTGGGCCCGTGCAAGCTTTCCGCGGAGAGATCGAGGCGCAAGGTCGGGGATCGCTCCATCCGCACATCCTGGTGTGGTTGTGCGCCCTCTCGACGCGGCAGCTCGTGCACGTGCTCCGACGCCATCCTGCCGCTTTCCGAGAGCGCCTGGGCAAGTGGATGAGGGCGTGCGTCATGGCCGTGGAGAGCACCTGCCAGAGTTCCGTAGAGGTGTTGCCGCGGCGTTTCGGGCACGTCGACCAGCGCGTGGACCCGCTGCCTTTCTCTGTCATCGAACGAGACCAGTCGCGCTTCGACGGGGGCAGCGAGCTGGACGCGCTCCGCGAAGAGAAGCAGGCGGGCGCGGAGCTGACCGAGGACCAGGAGACCTTCCTGGAGACCGAGGACCGGGACTCCTGGCTCTGGCCCGATCTGCCGTTGCGGGACGCCACAGGCCGCGAGTTGGCGCCGGGGGAGAAGGCACCGCCGCGGCCGTCCTCATACGGCATGCCCATCGATACTTTCGCCGTGGGGAAATGCCCCGCGTACCGGCGGCGCGGCCTCGTGCAGCAAGACACCGGAGCGGGCGAGCCGGCGGCCCGCGGGGTTGTCCCAACGGTCTGCTCGGACGCGCCCGCGGCTCAGTCGGGGCAGCAAGGACTCGGCCAGACGACGCTCGCCGCGGACGAGGAGGCGCCGCCCCCGCCGCCGCCCCCGCCAGGAACGGAAGAGAATCGTGAGGTCTGGGAGCGCCTCTTCTCGAGGGACGTCCGGGAGCTCGCCAAGGAGACGATGACGCACGTGTGCGGAGAGAGCTGCTACAAGTACTCGGGCAACAAGACCACGAAGATCTGCCGCCACGGCTTCTACTACATCGTCACGCTTGCGGATTGGCGCAGGCGCAGGCGAGGGAAGCCTCTGCGGAACGCCATGTTCGTGGTGCGATCCTCGACGCACGGCATGCAGGGTCGTCTGTTGCACTTCCAGCTCCACCCGTCTGAGTGCATTACCAACTACGCCGGCGCCGCGGCCGGGCGCTTCAACCTAGACGCGCAGGACCTCCGACGAGTCAGCGACCCCAAAGCGTGGTTGGACGAGGGCGAGGTGCTCCCGCACGTCGGCTCGCAACCCAAGCTGGGGTACATGGGCACGCACGAGCTGGGCGATGCCGACGCTTACGTCAACCGCCCGGAGGTTCCGGAGAAGCCGCTCGCGTGGACGGACGACTGCTCGCCGGAGGAGTGGCGCGACATTATGCTGCAGTGCCAGACGGAGAACGCGGAGGGCGAGGGCGCGGATGACGTGGACGCCGCGGACACCTTCGCGGACCAGCTGGAACTGGATGCCCAGGCAGCGTTCAGCGACGGCCTGAACACGGGCTTCTACATCAACTCCTACACGACGAAGCAGTGCCCCAGCATGGAGGGCGTCCTCGTGGAGATGCGGCGCGGCCTGGAGCGGCTGCAGGCGCAGCGACAGGCGCAACAGGACAAGATGAAGCTGGAGCTGCAGCAGCGAGGAGACGACCCCGAGAAGACTCTGTCCGCCGCCGACCGGAGAGCGCTCGGGGGTAAGTCCAAGTTCGGGGAGACGCTGGATCTGGTGAAGAATCTGTCCGCATCGCACCGCCGATGCTACTGGAAGAGCGGGCCAGAGATGCTGTTCCCGATCTTCTACGGCCACCTCACCTACGCGTCCCACCGCTGCTGGGCGATCTTCATCAAGAAGGGCGTCTTCCTGGCGGCGGAGGCGCGGCGACGCGAGCACGGGCGCTCTCTCCGGCACAAGGCCAAGCAGGACGGGGGCCGCGCCCCGGTGCAGTACCTCGGGCGCGGCGTCGACCCGCACACTCTCGAGGGGTGGCGCGAGGAAAAGGACGACGACGGGCAGGCGGTGTACGTGAGCCCGGAAGGCCAGCGCTTCCCGGATATCCTGACGGCCTACGAGCACGACGTCGCGACCAAGGCGGCGCGCGACGCGCCCGATCATCGCCAGGTGGTGTCGTTCCTGGCGAAGTTCATGCAGGACATGGGCTGCGAGAGCGAGGAGGCCCCGAAGACGGGGGGCGGCTTCCGCATCGTGAGGACCACGAGCACTCTGGACGACTGGCTGCACCGCGGCGACGACCCGGTCCTCAAGCACATGAGTTTGCAGGTGTACGCCATGTGGGTCTACCGCTGCGAGAAGCCCGACGGCCTGTGGCGAGACAAGACCCGCGCGCAGCACCTGGACTTCGACTTCGCGCCGCACTACGCGCTGTGCGCGACCCACAAGCAGCGCCTGGCCCCCGAGCTCCGCGTGCCCCTCTTCGAGGGCTTCACCATGCCGACGATGAACAAAGACTGCGAGACAGCATGCTTGTACAAGCAGTTGCTCCTGAGGCCGTTGGAGGTGGAGAACTCGGAGACGCCGGAGGACGAGCGCATGCTGCGGGCGTTCGCGCCCCTGATGGAGGCCCCCGGCGCGCCCCGTGACATGAATGTGCGCGGGTCAACCTGTTTCACGCGATCTTGGGCGCACTACGAGGCTCGGGCGGACGCGGAGGCCCGCGTCGCCGCGGCCCGCTTCCTTGCGCGGCACGAGTGGCCCTCGATCTGGGAGACACAGGAGGTGCAGGAGGAATTCTTCGCGCTGCACCAGGCGCGAGCGGAGGGTAAGGGCGCGGAGGGCGACTCGCTGGACCCCGCCCACTGCCCCGACAGAGAGAAACCCAGGGCGACGGTGCACCAGTACGTCTCCATGATAGCCATGCAGGTGGCGCCCAACCTCGAGGGAATCGCCCTGGCGCGCGAGGAGAAGAAAGCCCGGCAGTACCAGAGCGACGCAGCAGTGCAGAGCGCGTACCTCAAGGCGACCACCGGTGGAGGTGCCGGTCAGGACGAGGGCGCCGAGGCGGGCGAGGGCGTGGAGTACCCGGGCGCGCCTCCCAAGCGTGTCGGAGCACACTTCCAGCCGGTCCCGACGTGGGGCATCGACGGGGAGCAGGACATGGCGGACGTGCTGAACTTCGCGCACCGTAAGCGCCTCACGAGGTTGGCCAAGGAGCTCCTCGCGCTCCCGCGCATGTCCGAGGCGGCCCGCGAGGGCGCGGGTGCGCCCGAGCCGACGGAGGCCGCGACTGCTCCCGCGCCCGCGGCCGGGTACCGACCGCTGGTGACCGCGGCGCGCGAGGAGAGACACGCCTGGGAAACCTGCACGACGAACGCCTCCAGGACAATCGCGACGAGGAAGATGCAGGCGCTCCGGACGGCGAGGACGCGGGCGCAGGCGGCCTGGGCGGCGACCCCGCTGCGGCCAGTTTTGCCAGCAGCGTGTACTCAACGCCCAGCGCGCACATCGCCGCCCTGGTCGCTGGGTTGCCGGAGAACGAGAGACTCACGCGGGACCAGACGCTCTTCGTCGCCAAGTTCGCCAAGGCCTGCGACGACGCCTGGGAGGACGACGTGCAGAAGAAGCCCTGGAGCGAGAGAAAAGTGACGCACTTGCTCTTGTTGGGCCAGGGCGGCTCGGGGAAGACGCACGTGGTGCAGAAGATCGTCTTCCCAGTGGTGGAGTATTTGTGGCCCTCGTCGGCGCAGGACAAGGGCGCCATGATGGTCGTGGCCTTCTCGAACGCGCAGGCGAAGAACATCTCCACGGAGACGGTGAAAGCCAGAACGCTGCACAACGCCTGTGCCCTGCGAGTCCAGAAGTACATCAACGCGAAGATGAGACCGGGGGGCACGCAGAAGAGGTTGCAGTTGTTGTGGGAGCACGTCCGCGCCCTGGTCATCGAGGAGGTAAGCATGGTGGCGGCTGCTCTGCACAACGCGCTGGACCTTCGCGCCTGCCACGGGCGCAGTGACACGCACGACGTGCAGGAGTCCACCTACAAGAGGCCGCACCGCCACTTCGGCCGCGTCCCCATCGTGTTGCACCTCAGGGATTTCCTGCAGCTGAAGCCCACCGGCAGCATCGGGCTCCTGACGGACGTGAACGAGCTCCTGGAAGACGGGTCGTACAAGTACGCGGAGCCGCCGACGGTGGAGATCCAGCACGCCATCAGGGCATTCTCTCAGATCCCCTGCGTCTTCGAGCTGAAGGGCACGAAGCGCTTCGAGCCGGGGCACCCTCTGATCGCGCTCTTGGGCTGCATGCGCGAGGGCATGCGCTTCCCACCAGAGGTCTGGTCTGCCTGGGAGAAGACGTTGGCCGCTGACAACCACGGCGTCCTGGACCCACGGCACCAGCACGAGAATTTCCGGCTCGGCTACGGCATGGGCATCTACTGGGAGACGCTGGCGAGGTGGATCAACACGCGCGCTCGTCGCGACGCGCGGCGCCTCGGCGTCCCCCTCGATTTCCTGCAGGCCGTAGACGAGTGCGGCACGATTCAAGGCGAACCAGACGCAGGCCGGCGCCTCCTGAACGTCCCGAACATGCACAAGACGGGGGACATCCACGGCGTCTTACCGGCACACGTCGGCATGGAGGTCCGGTTCACGGCCGTGCAGGAGGAGCTGAAGAAGTAGTTGGGGCTCGTGCAGGAGCAACGGGCCACCATCGTGTCCTTCGAGTTTCACGCAGACGACGAGCGGGACTACGAGGAGTGCGCGCCGGGCCAGCTCTTCCGCCCCCGCTTCCTACCGCAAGGAATCTGGCTGCATGTGCACGGCTTCCAGGAGTCCCCGATCTACAAGGAGGTCGCCGAGGTGCTGCTGCAGGGCACCGAGGGCGCTGACGACGACGGCGAGGCCCAGGCGCGGGCGAGGAGCTTGCTCATGTTCAGGCCCAGCGAGCAGGAGTTCACGTGGCAGAGCTCGGGGGCGCACACTGTGCGCCGCTCGGGATTCACGCTGACGCACGCGTCCTACCTGACCTCCACGCTGTCGCAGGGCCAGACGCTGCGCAAGGGCGTCACCATCGACTGCGCCAGGGATAAGGACGCTGGCCGCACGGGCATGTCGGACGATATGTGGTGGCTGCACCTCTACGTCATGTTCTCCCGCGCCACGTGCATGCGGAACATGCTGATCCTGCGGCCGCCCGCGCGAGAGTTCCTGGAGCGCGGGCCGCCGGCGTCACTGCGGAAGGCGCTACAGGAGTTCGACAAGAGAGCGGTGGGCTCCAGGGCTGAGGCGGAGCAGCTCGCGGCAGAGCTGGGCTTCGTGCTGCCGCCCGCCTGAGCGCCGCGGCGCGCGCGAGGAGGCCCGCGGGGTTGTCCCAACGGCCTGGCCCGCGGGGTTGTCCCGCCGGCCTGCCCTCGCGCTCCGGCGGCCCGCGGGAGTGCCCCGCAGGCATGGCTGGCCCGAAGGGTTGACCCGACGGCTTCGCGATCTGGCCGTCGGCAAACGCGCGCGTTCTGACCGAGGCGGCGACGGCGCCGAGGAAATTCGACTTGCTTCCCCCGACCGGGGGGAAAGGGACGTGCACGTGGAAAAGAGGCAGGAGGAGGATGAGGACGGAAGGGGTATGGGGAGGGCGATGATGAGGAGGAGGTGGAGAAGGAGGAGGAGGAGGAGGAGGAGAAGGAGGGGGGGGGAAATAGAAGAAGAGGACAAGATGGCAGAGGAGAGGGCGATACGAGGGTGTTTGCCATGGCCGGGAGGAAAGGGATAAGGGAAAGCTAAACAGATTATCATGTGGGGTCCTTCCGTCGGAGTAATTGTTTTTTAGAATGTATCAGGGAATTTAATAATCGGGCCCTCCTGCGGGACCCTTGCGGGACCCTCTGGGCACGCGGCGCAGCCCTCGCCCTCGCGAGCCCGCGGGCCCAGGAGGCTA